ACGGTTAAATCCGAGTTCCTTGTAGCACGATTTCCATACTACGCGGTACGCACTCACCGCGTTATAGGAGGGTTGACTGTATGTAACACAGCACCTTAGTAAATAACTATCGGGCTATTCTTGATATGAAATCAATTTTGGTAAATTGATGGAAAAATTACTGACGTCGATTGCGATCGAAGAATGAAATACTATGGTATTAACTTTGAAATACTGGTTTAAATTACATACTTATCGTATATTGTTTTGCTGGACTTGTACCGTGATCTTTTAAATGATTTTGATCGCATCTACTATTTATTTGTGCGAACATAATGCTCGATTCAAATAAATATAATATAATAGGAACCATGCAGCTAATTTTTAGTAGGCTTATTCAATAGAAGTTATGAAAGTTGTTTAATTTCACTTTTAGTAGAATGTTCATCAGGTCCAACCGGCAAACTTACTTTCAAACACTTTTCACCATTAATACTCGTTCCTCCGGCTTCAAAGAAGTTGAGTCCAATTGTTGGAGTGTCTGAATCCATCGCCTCAACTTACAGACCTGATATTTATAAATATTTTGATATTAAACTACATAGCGAGATAAGTTAAATAACCGCAAAATATAAACGACATTCTATGGAAATGACATATGACTTAATCTTTCAAAGACACACCTATATTCACTTTTTAAAACCCTCATTAAATGCCATAAACTGCGGTCGCAAGTGCAATCCAATTAAAAATCGGAATTAATTGTAAATCCGTAGCCATAGCCATTAAAATTCATTACTCGCAATTAAGCAATTTTAAGTCAAGCAATTACGCTTATAGAAGAATAACGCCATTCGTACCACGAAGACCTTAAATTTTGTTGCGAAACGACGTCGTGTAATATTTTAAAGTGCGAAGCGCTTCGCGTACATATTGACTCTTTGAGTTGCCTGGTAACTCATTTTTCTTTGTTCATGCTATATGCATATATCTCGTATATATTGTACATATATACACATCTACGAGTATAGCGATAAAATTTCATATTCAAAACGTAGTCTGAGATGCACACAGCTGGACCTTTCCATGGGCAACCAGCCATCCTATCGCATTGAGGCCAACTGCGCTCGAGCGTTCTTAACTTTTCCGACATGTTGGCTTATTGCGCCTTTTGGCATTGTTGTTACGCCCGATAATTACAATAAAATTAATTACGCCCTACAGTTGGTCGAATACCGTTGCCGACAGAATACGACGCGCAGATTTATAGCGTGCGACGCATTGCTTGTTTCTCAATTCCCTGCAATTGTTGTTTTAACTGTATGCGTTTGTGTGAGTGTGTGCTCGGACAATTGTGCTTGGGCAGGTGATGCAAAATACTCTTAAAAAGTGCACAAAAATATTATCTTTCGCTACCTTCGCGCGACGTCCGCAGGTAATGGAGTCATTGCAATTATTTTTTGCACTCCAATTGCATATTGCTTAAAATTCTGTCTTATTCCCTAGCCAAACCTGTTGCAAAAGGGTATGTCAGCTTTGTTCATAAAAATTGTTTATAAAAAATTTTCAAAATTCTCGGAATTACTTATTTAGTTGGGTACAGTATCCAAATTGCGCAAGCACAGAGATTGAACATGTCATTGAGATAGGTAGGCAGAAAAAATGTTGAAACACAGTCCACAATCATAATTATGTGCTATATATATAGGGGTAAATTTGTTATTGCAAAACAAAATTTTTTTTTTATTGAAGGTTTAATCGAGAGTAGTTTTGCTAGCTTATGAAAACATTGACGACAGGTTTAAGACCTACTCTTGGTTTGCACGATATTTGTCTTTAAAACCTGTGTTAGTAATGGAGAGCTTGTAGGATAATGGGCAATAAACCGTCCAAAAAAGGGGCAGCCATTTGACATAGCCAAATCCTTGTGGGAAGATTATGTGGCATGACGCACTAACCAACTAATTGGGAAGGTCAAATAATGGTAGAGTGAAAGATTGCGGCCTGCATCATTAAAAACGAAACTAACTGTCACTCTTTTTAATAGTTGTAACACCTTTATTTCAATCCGACGTCACGAAGTAATATGTTTTACTGTCAAACATATCTAAAAATTTAAAGGGACGAAATTTTCATAATCTCTATTTCTATTATATTATCAAAATACAATATATAAATAAGAATTTTTGGAACATAATCCGAAAGCTACGTTCAATCCTTTAACCTTACCTATCTGACATGTAACTACTCTCCTGCTTACTTCCTTCCGCATCTCTTTTAGCGGTATATGCTTTTGTTTCTGGTAAATTTAAATAAATAAATTTTATGGCACACCTTCTGTCAAAAATGTATCGCCACAATTGGCAAAATAACCACAATTAAGAGCAACAGAATAATGCACAGTATATATGCGTATAAACTACAATATACTAACGACATATTTTTCGTTCTGATATTACGGGAATTGATAAAGATTTAATACTCAGATCCGCAATTTTGTTGCAAACCATATCTTCGAGTTACAAGAATAACTGAGCAAAATTTGGAGACTATGCTCTTGAAAAGGCAAATCAGCTTGTTGGCAAATATCCCTGGTTTTAATTCCCTCCAACGGTGCATAAAATTTTACTTCCTGGTTTTGAATATATATAATATATTTCTTGGTTCCGATTAGAGAGCTTTCTGAGGAAGTTAGCAGGCAAGAATTAAAGATATTAAAAGGTTACGATTACAATGTGCACGGAAAGTTCCACAAGTCGCTTCAAATGCAGATTTAATGAACCAATTGCTTTAAGGCTGATCACTTTATTACTAGCCTACAAAAACGAGTTTATAATCAGAAGTCAACGCTACTAAAGTCAATTATGGATTTACTTGATGAACCAATATAAAAATTACTTGTAAAATTTTCGTCGTTTTCCAATTATAATATATGAATGTTATTCTTGTTTTTTTTTTTGTTATCACTACATTTATGAGTACCACCAATCAATGCGAATATTCTTGAAAGTGTGTATTTTACTTTTGTATTGTATTATTATTAGTAAAACCACCCCAATTTTCCCCTAAAATACTAAATATAAAAAGTTAATCGATCCGTTAGTGACTGTTAATATGGGAGCTATAGGATATAGTCGTACGATGTGCCCAATTTTTTTATAATATACCTATATATGATATTTTTATATTGTAGATTTTTGATAAAATTTTCAAAAGGATATCTCATAAAAAAGTATTTATGACCGCGGCTCTCATACAAGCGAAACTACTGGGCAATGTATTAAATTTTCGTACATGCAAAGAGAAGACAGGTGAGCAATGCTCACACACATGCAACATTTTTAAATATTTTGCACAAATTCAATTCCATCGTAAATATACTCGAATTTTCATTAAATTTATGCGGTGTCGGTTTACTTTTAGCAATTCGCAACAACATTACAGGCTGCTACCAGCTTCCTTTCCACCTAGAAGTATGCAACGCGGCACAATTGATACTCGTTAGTTTGCACAGTAAGGAGTGGCTATTGGATATTGAGAGTTTGCGCGGCCAGATATCAAAATTGCGAGGAATGAGTAAAAAATTGCCCATAAAACGCTGCAACAAACGCCACAAACTATTTAAGCCCACTGGGAAACGGCGTACGGTTTCATGCAAAGCAAATATTCCATTTTCGTTATGCTTTTGCTTTTCTGATGAGCATAAATTGAATACAACCCACGATTATCGTCTACGTTACGCTTCAATAGTTAATGCCTCGCTTAATTAATTTTAAATCGCTTCCAAGTAAATGACTTTCCATCCTACAATTGAATTAATCGAAAGCGCTGGGTGTACTTGTCTAAGCTTCGACACATTCCAGCAAATGATTTAACCCCAACCAAGACACATTGTTTATCATCGGGCGTATGCAGGACCATTCAATGCAAACATGCAGTCGGCAGGTTGTCGGGTGTAATCCTAGTTATGTTTCAACTTCATTGTCCTTCATTCAATTCATGTGGCACCCATTTTCCACTATTTGGGAAATTTCCCATAACTTTCAAACGGTCTGAAATTGTTTGTGCCATTTACTTTTGACTCAAAGCGTCATCTTCATCCAATATTGCTTGCAGTTCGGCGTCTTCAAACTTTTTTGGTCGTCTTCAACGTACTTCATTTCTCACATCAAAATCGTTATATCTGAACCATTGAAACCATATTTTGCATTTTGTTTTTGATATAGCATTATCACCATATGCCGCGACAAGCACTTTTCTTCAGATGGAAACTAAATATTATCCGATTGTACAGTTTATATGGCAGTTATATGCTATAGTGGTCCGATAGCGGCCATTTCGATAAATAATCAGATTCTTACTGAGAAAAGGATAGGTGCAAAATACAGACAGACGGACAAAACGGGTCCTTCTGGGTGTTACAAACGTCGTGGCTGGGTATAAAAATTAAGGCTCGTTCACAACAAATGTTCCCTACCAAAATATTTGTATATTAACGCTCACTTCATATATATAAGGTTTACTTTCTTTTTTCATGCTTCGACTTCGGTTTAAGGCCACTCGGCTGTCTTTCGATTTGTCTTTGTGGCGAAATGAAGGAGTCATATCCCTGATACTGCTCAGATTCATCAAAGATTCACACAAAAACTTTCATCTTTTGTTGGTGATAGGGCCACTGCTTTAACTATTTCGCGTTTCTATCTATATTGTGCCAGGTTTTTTGGGACCGCTCTGAAATTCAGTAAACTCTCAGGGTTTTATTACATAGATTGGTACTAAACAATTTGCAAAAATTTTAAGAATTTTAGGCAGAAATCTGAATATCAGTAAAAATATCAGTTTTGCCAAGCTGTTTTCTGTTTAAAGCACCCCCACCCATAAAAGTTAAGTGCAATTTAGCTTCTTGGTTCACACAAATGCACATACCTATATTAGGAAATACATTTAGCAAGTAACTATCTACACCTATTGTAGCCTTCGTAACACAAAATACTTTTTCTTCGTTTTGCATCCAATTCTAGGTATCGCAACGGTGATTTAGTCAATGTCAACGACACGGAACGATACGAGGGTGGCAATTCCGAGAACGTTGCACTGGTTATACGCTCCACCGACAAGGAGGATGTCGGCAACTACACCTGTCAACTATCAAATGTTATCGGCAAGGGCATATCCGAGCAGCAAATCGACCTAGATGTACAGTGTAAGTGTCGAAAGTGTCATGCTGCATAGATACATACAGTTATATATACAATGTTTATATGTTTATTGCTCTGTGACAGTATTCACGTACCAAATATATCCGAAAATCTGCTCTCCCATCTCTTCTCGCCGAAATAAACTTTTCCTTAATTTTGTTGTTATTATTATCTATAAGTGTTTCACTGTTATTGTTATTATTGTATAAGTGCTATTGTCATTGTCAGTTACCCATGTTGTATTAACGGTTCACGTAAACGTCGCTAATGTCCTTAACCGATGTCCTCTTTTCTTTCAGCTTTATCACTCGCATATTATATGAATCTGTTTGTACATATCTGTAGACACCACTAATGTGCTTGCGTTCATATTTATTTCAGTTGTGCCAATTGTAGAAGTGCTGATGATACCCGAGGGTCCCGTTAAGGAGAGTGACGAGTCGAATGTTACTCTCTACTGCAACATCTTGGAAGCTAATCCGGCATTGCTGACAAAAGTGCGTTGGTATGCCAATTCGACGTTGCTCAAAGAGCTGCCCGATTGTGAGGAGACAAAGGTAAGTACAGGACACTTGTATAAGTTGTGAAGGTGTTGCAGGTTGAGAATAGTTCACTTCGAAGTATGCCACTTTAATATTTAATATATTTTGATTTTTTTAACCCGAATTTTCAGGAGGACTTATGCCACATTGATCCAAGTAAATTGCTGTTGGAGAGCATTGGACGTGGCTTCTTCTACAATTACTCTTGTGAAGGCTACAATGCCGCCGGTTGGGGACCACGTAGCGAAGATAAAGAGTTAATGGTGAGTGGAACTAAATGCAATATTTAATATTTTATTTCTTTTGAACTAGACCGGCTAGCGAATTTTGTAATATCTTCATGATGATCCATTTTTCTTTGCAGTTATATTTTCCACAAACAATTTAAACCATTTAGTAAAACTCCCTCATTTTCTATTACACTCACAGGTACACTACGAGCCAGGTCCAGCCATGCTCACCCACTTTCCGTTGATTGCGGTGAAGAAGAAGAGTGTGACATTTTCGTGCTCTGTCGACGACCCTGGATATCCAGAATCGAATAGGTCTGTAAAGCAGCATGACAAAGCCTCCACATTTGCATCCTCATTCAATTCCATTAATCCCATAACCAAATTGTCAACTACGTCAACAACCAAATCACAAACATCACATGCTTCTACCAAAGCTTTGTCCACACCCCATACGGGTGATCAATTCCATATACATTTCCATACCGTACAAGTGTTACAACCTTCTGAGGCTGAGGCAGCTTATGAGGCGTTGATACGACAAAATTCACCATTGCTTGACAAACACCAACAACAACACAGCAATCAAACAATACAAAAAGAAACGCATACACTAATTGGTCTGAACAGTCATACACCCTTATGTACATTACTCACACTCACCACATTCTCACCAAAATCACAAATTCTAACACTCTACAATGTGGCAAAACCGTATGCGGTGGACAACACTTCATCACAATTATCATCATCTTCAACATCAAAAACATCGACATCAACCCCATACGATTCATCTACAATATTTACCGACATCAATTCATCACTACAAAAACAACAACTCTCATTATATCGAAAAATGGGCTCCTTTACTTATCGTGCACAAATGTTAATGCATCCACATAGATTCCGTTGGCAGCGCGGTGGACTTGGACCCTTGCAGGATATCGTTACCAAAGATTGGACTGTGGAGCCGGTGGGTTTGGATAGTCGCACCAACTACTCTTGCTATGCTTACAATGAGGGAGGCAAGGGCTCCATGGCTAGCGTTAATCTAGAAGTGCATGCACCACCATTCTTCATCAAGAATCTAGTGCCATATACGGGGATGTTGCACACATCGCGCACGGCAAATCTAACATGTCGCATCGAATGTGTGCCACGCTGTGAAATCACATGGTTGAAGGGCACCGAGCCCATTGAAAAGAACGACACGCGGTACTTCATCAAGGAGAAATATGTGGACGCGTCACCAGCAACGGGCGACTTTGAGAGCATGCTTTCAGTGTTGGTAAGTAGAGAAATAATTTGCAATGAAGTAACTTTGTGAGTTTGTTATAATTGTGAAATGATATAAAAGAATTATATTTATAATAATAAAGTTATCTTAACAAATATTTGCTTGACCTTGTTGTGTGAGTTGGGATTATATTCGCAACTAGAGAGAGAGAGAGAGAGAGAGAGAGAGAGAGAGAGAATCTTGCACTGATGATCGACTATTTTATAATATTTGAAGACAGAATTCCCTCTCCTACAAACTACTCCTAAAAAATGCATAACAAATTTAATTATAGACTTGAATTTCGCTAAAGGAACGAAAAAATCGACAAGTAACAATGACTTTTAGCCTTTTCCATTACAATTTTTATCAGTGAGAGTGCCTTGGTGTAATTTCTTTCTAAATACAAACCATATAAGATCTTAAAATAAAATATTTTTCTAAATACTCTATAACTTAATTTAATTATTCTCTTTTTCTCCTACTCACGAACCCTTAGCACTTTAACATGTCAAATTGGCCCAATCAAAAGTTCGACATCGAATCAGATAGCGCAAACTACACTTGTGTATCTACAGGAAACACCGTTGGACCCGGCATCAAAAGCGCCACTTACTTTTCTATAGAATGTGAGTTCTAATAAGAATTATAAGCAAATATCTAAGGTTTGACAAATTGAGGGAGTTAAAGGCTACAACAAATATGTGAATACAATAGATCAAACCTTTGAAGAGCAAAATACCCATAAATATTAAATATTTGTATCATTGCATAATAATTTTGCATAACACCCTTACATATTCTTAACTGATTTCCATTTGCTCCATTTTGTAATCCTCTTCTTTTACTTTCTCCCTAACAGATGCGCCGGAGAACTCAACCGTTTCGGAGGAGAAGGTTTCCGTGCAAGAGGGCACTATACCCGGACGTGTCATTTGCAATGCCAAAGCTAATCCGAGTAGGTATCCATTGCACATTACAAATATGTATATCTCTTTTATATCCGGCAGTTATACAAATAATTCGCACGAACGCACGTCGTGTCAGCTCGATTGTTATTGTGTTATACTGTATTGACGCTTGTTGTAAATGTCAAGTTTAAAATGTCAGCAATTTCTGTCAGCGTTGACATAAATGATAAGAGTGACATGACAACACACAGCAGCCTCAATTTCTGCCTTAGTCTTAGCAGTCCAACTCACACACACTTAGCCAGTGGACTATGAGACGCGCCGGTGGAGCTTATTGACTGGCGTGCGGTTTCAAGTAGTGCAACGTTCCCGTTATATTATGCGCTTATGTCAGCAGCGCGTCAAGGCGTTTGCGAAATCTCGAGGTTGAGTCATGTGGAAATTGACATTTCTGAAGGGTCCCTATGCGTGCTGTTGGGAGTCTTAAGCACGCTTCAAAACATTTTTGTAAACACTTGCAGCAAAACGTAAATCAACAGGATTTAAATATGTCGCAATATGCGAAACACATACACTTACACGTTAGTGAAGGTTGTCTTCCCGACATTTATACTAATCAATGTTGGCAGCCCGATTATTTAGGGAATTACAACTATTTTTTTAAACTGGGCACAGATTCTAGTTAGGAAGTATATATCATTCAACTTGCCACAGTTGATACTTATGGCTGACATGGCTTTGCTTCAGACATTTGCTTTGACAGATAAGTTTGATGGGTATTTTTGTATGAGTTTGACCACATCGAGGCAAAGCAAAGCAAAATATTGGACAACTCTCATCGAAAGCAAGCGCTTGTTCTGACATATCCATTGTTTTTTTCCATTCGTTGCTAAATTATGAGTTGTCAAGCAACACGAGGAAAGTTGTATGCGAATTGGCCTTTAACGTTTCATGTAAATTTTTCACATCTGTCTACAAAAAACTCTTCTTCAATTCAGAATTTTGAAGACGTTTTACTGTGACTTCAGGTTATCAGGGTAAAAGAGTTTTAATACTAAGCCTCCATCATCTTGCTTCACTTTCTTTTGAGTTTGTCATGTTTTAAATTTACAGTCCCCGAGAGAGGCCGACACAGAGTCTCTTTGTAGTGTCACTCACTTCTGTTTGAATAATTCTTGTTTGCAAAAGTTGTCCAAAGATTCGTATAAGCTGATTGAATATCAATAAGATCGTAATACTAAAAAAAATGATGATCACACCAGTAAATAATTTTATTGACCAACGAAAGCGCTCGAAGTAAAGCAAATACAATATCTACAATATCTTCTTCTCCCGATGTTCGTTAAGGGAATTAGTCTTTCAAAACGAAGCTGAGTCATAATATTTGCAAAAATAATTAAGTTTTAAAAACATAGGGTTTGATAAAAACATATATATTTTAAATCCTGCCATAAGTTCCGTTACAAGTACAAGTATTTATAACAATTTAACTACAATACATATTTTAAGTTAATTTTCTTTAATAAGTTAATTTGGTTTTTACTTCTTGATGCAACAATTTTGTGAGAAGTATCTCCTGATCACTCTCGATTCAGTTTCATTAAAAGTCTCGAACTTAATGGTTTATCTTTATTTTACCTTCGCACCTAAAGAAAGTATACCCTCAATAAATTTCAACTTATACTTTTCAGACAAAATTGTGTATTCTATAAATTATTACAAAATGAATGAATTTCGGATATATTCACTTTATTTAATTTGCTGATTTTATAATTAACTACTCAACAGTAGTACCTATTTGCGTTCAAAAGGGGACAATTGTAAATGCAAATGATATTTCCCTCAAAGTTTCCAGGAGATTCATCCTGGCCTGGCCACATATTTATATATTCTATGTGAGAACAAGCAATTAGCTTAGCTTATCTTACCTATAATTTCCACGCTTGCCATTCAAACGCCAGTTTTGGTTTACTCATAACAATAAGTGGTTTACTAGCGGAAAAGTATAAATCTTTTCTTTGTCAATTAAAAGCAAGGTAAGCTACTGGAAATCCACTACCATAAATTACTATCATTCCCACATATCAATTTGCAAAGCACAAAATCCATTCGAATACACATGTTATTCAATTTGATTTTTCAATTGCAGGCGCTCACTACAGTTGGTACTTCAACAATACAAAACTGGGACAGGATCAGGCGTTAATCATCAACAAACCAATGACACGCAATGACTCCGGCGTCTACACATGTGTTGCCTCCAATAAGCACGGCAAGAGCCCAGCCGAAACAATCATCGATGTACAATGTAAGTAGAAACACTCCTCTCCTTTTTCTTCAACTTTGTCGATAGAATACGCATTACAACTATTACAACTTATAATATAGAAAATGGACGGTTTTGAAATTACAACCGTTATAAAATTGTCCCATGTCATTTCTAAGCGACCTTTCTCTCTAGAATTACAATTGCAAAAAAATGTAGCGCTTTAAAATATCTGAAATTATATTCAGTCAAGAGGTGGAGCTGTTAACGCAGCGGGATTCGTATTACAAAGGCACATAAATATGATATTTGAAAGTGTCCTTTTATGCGCTTTGTTTGGCGGCTTGTCAAACTAGTGTTTGAAATTGTCCGAATAATTTTACGAATTTTTATGATTATTTCCATTATGATACTTTCACTTTGAGCGCAGTGCATTTTATCGAGCATTTTATTGAAACCTTTTTCGACAATTGTTGCCAAGTCACAGCCACAAAATGTTTGTGTCCTTTGTAATGTCACACATTCATATACATATTATTGCCCGTCGCGTTTTCTAATATTTCTATTATTTGCGTTCGCTCACAATTGTTTGTCCCCATTCGTTTTATGAAGAATTATTCGGCAAAAAAATATGCGGTAACGGTTCGAAACCATAAATTTTTGCATTCTAACCACACTAACTCTCCTGCTAAGCTTGCTGTGGTGTGCGGTGTGGGGAGTGTTTCGGATTTTGCAGCTGGTCACGCTATGATAAGCCTATTTAATATTGATTATTGAAAAGTTTCAACACCATTCACATACCGTTAATACTATTTATGCTGAGTTCGGCTGTTTTGTCGCATTAAATGGCCGCTATTCAATTGAAATTGACCGGAAATATCACCAAACGGCTCCGCATTGTCCTTTTGACCTTTCGGCGTCAACTATGTGTTGGAATTAAACTTTCGAAACAAATTCAATTATGTGACCAAGAAGAGGTGCTGCAATGCATTTTATATTCTATATTTCAGCTTGCGGTAACAGAGCATATTAGGTTTTATGTCAAAATAGCTTTTTAGAATTGCAAGCAATAAAAAAATAATAAATGAAATGTCAATGTAACAGTTTGCATCTTACAAGTACAAATGAATTTTATACAATTTGCGATTTAATACTTTATATGAAGTGTTGTTAGGAGTTCTATAAAATGATATCCTTTTGATTATACTAATTTCTCTCAAAACACCTACCATGGATTAAAAGTCGAATAACTGAACTGTATTACGAATGTTATAGGATCCGGATATTAAAGCCTAACACTAGATAAAATCCTGTCACATTTCTGCTTGAAAGTAGTGTAGCCAGTTTGGGGTTCTATAGTTAGGTTAGATCTTAGGATTGATCCTGATCGATAGATCTTACTTGGATAGCTGTTAATCCTTTGTGTTATCAATAAACTCCTAAAAATTAATCACCAGTTTATCATAGATCGTTGAAGCGTTTTGTGACTACCATAACATTTTTAAGACGGGTAATATCAAGCCCAGCCACTTCGCTAGGTTCACCAAAGGTGTGTCTACTAAGATATTTCAATCTCAGTCTAGTAAAAGTCGGGAAATAGAGGAGAAATCGGAGTGAATGCTCCGATCTCCGAAGATAGCTGCACTTCGGAGCTGCACTTCGCCCCCCACCAGACAGCGCCCCATTAAACATTATTGGCATAATAGAGTCTCATAAAGCCAGAACACTTTTGATAAAAGCACCATGACTTCCCAGTTGTTCCTCTACAGCAGTTTAAAGCGACCGATGCCTTTCTCACTGTCTTCTCATTGTTTGGCTTCCAAGAGAGCTTTCCATCCGGGAGAAGCTCTAAGTACTTCGCCCTGCCCACCGGTTGAAGAATAGAGCCTCCCAACGATGGGAAAGTAACCTCAGGAATTTAGTATCTCCTATAAAACTAGCTCAGTTTTATTTAGATTCGATCCTTAAATTGCTTCAGTAGGAAGGGCACTTGGATCCAGAGCAAAGCGAAAAAGACGCCAACTTGCGGAGCCCTTATTTACTTTCTGGGTTCTATCGAGAAAGTTAGAAATTTTTAGACTGATTCTATCAATGACTGAATCTTCCTCTTTTTAACACAACTCATCATTCTCAAGCAGTGTTTAGATTTCTCAAATCACTGACTAAAGTAAGATTATCAGAACGCTAATTCTACAGTTTTTTTGTGAGGATAAAACGTTGGAAAATGCGTTTTTCGAAGGAGAGAGTATTTTTTATTATATTAACCCTCAGACTAGAAGTTATAAGAATCTTGAATCTTTAGTTTTTTCTTAAACTAGCTTTAAGACAATTTTAGAAGAAACTGAAGAAAAATTATCGCTATTATATCATAATAGTACTGCGCCAAATGTTTTACTTGCCTTCTTTCGCATTTGTCAAATTGATTGCACTAAAGTCAAAACACCACGATATCCACACATGAATATATTTTTAACTGATTTCCATAAAATTAATTACGTGATAAGGTCAAACAAAAATATCTAAATTATGCAGCACTGACTTTCTGTTTTTTTCTCTTCGTTTTCCATGAACCCTTCGGCGGCCATGCGGACATTTCGGACTTCTGATGACAACCAAACAACATGTTGATGTTACGCTGTATGCTTATTTTTTTGCTGTTACCAATACTGTCGATATTTCTGTTGCTGACTTTTTTGCCGTTTGGATTTTTGGCATTGCTGATTGCATGTCTGCCTGCAGTTAAGCCACGTTGCGATATTGAAAGGCACGAGATCGATGACCAGGATACACTAATTTGCACAGCATTCGGAAATCCTGTAGAGGTAAGCACACAAGCATGCAAAAACAACACACATCTAACTGTAGATAGTTGGTAGCGTATAACCACATACTGGGGTATTTGCGAAATATACTCATACACACTCATATATATACAAATTGAGGGGTTCGGAGTTCCTCTTTCGCAAAACGAGAATGCACCCGAAAGTTCGGTGTATGTGCGTGTCACTGCAACCCAGTTCTTCGTAACTTTCAATGTTACCAGGGCGGGCGCTGCATATACCAACAGATCAACAAACACGCCGTAAAGTATGCAATGCATACAATTTTTTGATTTTGTTTTTGCTTTTTCTGGTTAACGATGCTGATTGCTGCGTAAAAGCGGCAGCTAGCAGCTCAGTGACTGCCGTAGTATAGTTGAACTTCGCATAGTTTGAGTTCGAAGCGCTCGGAAATCGGATATTTGTGTGCGCATGAGGGCACTGATGTGGGCGGCGAAAGTGCTGGCTAGGGAAAACGGCGCGCTTCGCACCCTTGTGCTGTTACTATGTATATGCATGCTTACATATATGTCGGTGCATGTGTGGGGTTTCATGTGGCTTATCGGTTGAATGCTTGTACGCCTGAATAGCGGACCCCACCTTCCGCCTGACTCTCGCTGCTAGCGCTGATGTGTGCTTTAACTGGCATGTTATTGCAACAGTTGCCCGAGTTGGTATTTAAGTTGTTGTTGTTTATTGGTTTTTTGCTGTTGCCAGTGCTATTGTTGATGTTGTTGCAATAGCAATAAAACGATAGCATTTCATTTGCAAGCACTAACGCGCGACTGCTATTTCAGGAACACTCAAAATATATACCAACGGACGGACATATACATACAGATATGAGCTGTGCGATTATGCAAGGACTTGTTCGAAGCTTTAAGAACACGCATACATATATATGAAGTGTTTTGCTGTTTGCATAAAATCGTAATGTCTAGAATCGGCTGCATTTCAGTCTTCCAGTGTTGCCTTCACAGCGTCCTTCTTATGCATCCTGTTGATGTGTATGTACATGCACTGGGTCACCTATAAGTGTTTGCATATTTAAAAAGTATTTGTTCTATTTTGACTTACCTTGGTATATGTGGAGCTACTTGAGCCTTCGCACAGAGTAATAATGCACAAGAAGTGTAAACCGGAAGGTTCATGTCATATTTATCAAGTAGGAAATACAATGTGTGCCTGTGCGTTATTGAAATCTAAAAGCTAAAGTGACGTAAGTCCCGTTGGAGATTTTCTTTGGTCATTTGTGAATGACGAAAAATAGTAAAAGTTGTTCAAATATTTCGAAGGTACTGCCACGCTTTTCTTTAAAAAGCGTGTAAAAGCTCCCATTTTCAAAGCTTATTATATATCACTTCAATTACAAAGTCCGACCAAATTGACTAACTTGTCGTAGTCTTTGTTCCATCAATTCTCAAGTAGTCTCATGATGTAATTTCGGAAACTAACATATTTCTGATGATTTCTTTGATTCTTTATTCTATAAAGTGAATTTATATTCCAATAATTTATTGACGTGTTTTACGGAGGTTAGTGTGGCGTTGGTGCCTCAATGGCTAAGTGTTCGACATTGTAAAACTAAAAGAAGCAACAGCCTTAGCAATAGATAGTCTGAATAATTTCATATTCCTTTTATTACAATCACCGTGGCTTTATTCTAATTTAGATATTTTCAAGGTTCTGTGAATATTCCCACAAACTAATAATATTTATACCCTGAACAGGGTATATTAAGTTTGCCTCGAAGTTTGTATCATCCAGAAGGAAACGTCGGTGAATCTATAAAATATATATATAAATGATCAGACTCAGTCCAGTCGATTAAGCCATGTCCGTCCGTCTGTCTGTATTTACGCGAACTAGTTCCTCAGTTTTTGAAATATCGATCTGAAATTTTTCATCCGTCCATTTCTCACCAAGAAGCTGATCACCTGTCGGAACCGCTTCGCTGCAACCGAAGTTAACGTTTCTTTTTTTTATTTTGAATGCCTTTATATTTATTTTCAAAACCCTTAGCTCGTATATATTTCATAATATATTTTGATCTTTGGGCGCATGTACATTAACGACATATGAGGAATGATTCAAAAGTAGCAAGTTAAAAATGGTACATAAAGGAACATTTACCATTTAAGTGCTAACAGACCAGGTTATCCAAACTCATTATTTGACTTTTATATCGCATTCGCCAGTAAATTTGTTTGTCAACAGCTGTTTAAACCAATTCTCCATGTGATATGCAACGGATTTATATCAAATAGGATTGTACATGCATAAATGGTACATATATTTAACTGTATTTGTCATTTGTAAGTGTGTGTATATTATTTTAATTGACTTCCTTGTCTGCAAGGAATTGCTTGGACATACATTGCTGACATGCATACAATTGCATAAAAATATTTGTGTTTTTCGCACGGCTTACTCTTAATCAAACAATCGAGTATTTATAACCCGTGCCACAAAAAGCGGCATGTACAATGCAAATAGTAGTAAAAAGCTCGGCGAGAACAGCGACAAAAAAATTTAAATGTAAATTTGGTATTGCTTACACACGCACGCATACACTTGTAATGATCCGAATGTTATTGGTATATTTGCTTGTTTGCATTTATATTTCTATTTATTATTATTATTGTTGTTGCACGTTTTTTCGTTGCAGGCTGATTTTTCATGGTCAATTAAAGCGGAAAATGACAGCGCCGAATGGCTGGGCAGTGGCGAGCGGCAGGGTTTTACAGACAAGAGTTTTTATGTGTTGGACGATGACTATGCGATTGCTCGAACTTACCGTTGCGTTGCGAACAACACCGTCGGCCCGGGCTCATTCTGTGAAATCGAAGTGGCCGGTAAGTAACGGACGCGAAGGATAGGCAGTCAATATCTGCAATCAGTATGTGTTGCAATTGAAGGTGCTCACTCATACGTACATATATTTAATATATCTGTAATACTTGTACATATGTAAATAATATTGTACCATGTATACGGTATTGTGGCCGCTTAATATATGGGATTCAGAAGTTGGTTTGTGGGCGTACAGCAATTACTTTTGTGGTAAGGGTGTTACGCGTTTACCACCATAAATGTCGCATTAAATACTTTGTGCTGCTTGCAGAAATAAGATGTGCGGAAATTATGGTGTACTCACACATGAAGGTTATATGAGGAGGTTGAGATTTCCTAAATTTATACTTTTTTGCAGTAATCTTAGCATTTAATATCATATTTTGTTGACATATCTTGTGGATGTGGTCTTTTATTACACTTTTAAAAGGAGTTCCTTAGGACAATTGTGTACAAATAAAGAAATCATTTGATTCTCAGCTTGATACCGTTTCTAAATTTTGGTTTATTTTAATATATATTATATTACAGTTTGGGATATGCTATGATTAGCTATCTTTCACTTCACTTTCTAGAATTTTGCTTAAAAAATGGTAAAGTATCGCTCATCATATGAAGAATAAGGCACTCGGTCACCCAAATTCACAGTTGTAATATCAACCATGATAAGCTCTCTCTCTAAGATGATTTTTATTCGCTACCTTTCCTGTAGTTAGCAGTCGTTATTCTTCGTTATACTTTTACTTTATTCACAACATTAAAAATTGGTTTTCTTAATATGTGTCTCCCAAGTAAATATATAGAGTGATCAATTAGAGGTTCCCTACTTAAAAAAAAAAAAACATAAAATTCATATTAAATACGGAATGTTTATTATCATTCAAAAGCACATTATTTGGCATTTATATTTTGAAGCATATCTTTTTCAATTGTTGTCCATCCATTGAGTCCAATTTTCCATAACTGGTTCGAGCATTTCGACTGGTAACTGGCGAATGACAGTGATGTTTTGCTCCAAGGCCTGAATCGAAGCGGGATTGTCATATTTACATATCCCTACAGGAAAAAGTCTAACGGTGTGATATCACATGATCTTGGTGGCCAATCGACCAGCCCAAAACGTTAAATTATCTGCTCACGGAAGTGTTCTCTCAATAAATCCATGATTGATGTGCTGTGTGGGAAGTGGGAAGTGGCGCCGTCTTGTTGAAACCAAATGTCGCCGAGATCACGAGATTCAATTTTAGGCATCAAATAGTCGGTTATCGTGGCGCGATAACGGTCGCCATTGACGGTTACGTTATCACCGGCATCATTTTTAAAGAAATATGGACCGATGATTCCACTGGCCCACAAACCACACCAAACTGTTGTTTTTTTCATGATGAAATGGCAGCTCTATAATCTATTACGTAATCATTGAGTCAGAAATGGGCCAAAATTTGACTCGAAAACGTCGGATCTTCTTGGAACTTTTCAAGAGCCGGTCGAGCGAAGCGATGTCTCTTGGAAGGATCAAGCGGCTTCAGTTCTTGTAAAAACTGTATTTTGTACAATTTCAATTTAAAATCTCGACGTAATGCTCCAAGTCGTTCCGTACGTCAATCCGAGTTGCTGGATCGGCGACGAATCGACTCTCCACGGTCTTCTTGTACACTCTCAGCTTCGGTCGCTATATTTTCTTCACTGCGTGCTCTACGTGGTCTATTCGGTCGAATATTATCCAATAATGAATGCTGGGTCTCAAGATGGGTGATGGTGTTGCAATTAGTACGCTCATAAGTTGAGCGAAGCGCGCGAAAGACATTCTTTACTGAACGTCAATTTTCGTAGTAAGGTTGAACGATTTGTAAACGTTGATTAGGCGTAAGTCTTTCCATGATGAACTGCCAAATAATACTAAATAAAAGTGCCATGAAAGCTTGACACGACTTACGCCCGATCTGTAAAAAAAAGCTTTAAAAAAGTATTTCAACTTGGATCACCCGTTATGTTGCTAACTATAGGGCAGATACAAAATTGTTTAATATCAAATGTTTTTTACACTTGCAACATGTTGCTACAGCGTTTAATAGTTTTGATCACTTAACAATTGTTTGTATCACGTAAGCCTATTCGAAATAGATATAGGGTTATATATATAAAGACAAGGATGATGAGTAAAGTTAAAATCCGAGTGACTGTCTATCTGTCCGCCTGTCGGTCTGTCCATCCGTCTATTCGTCTGCCTGTCCGTCCGTGCAAGCGATAACTTGAGTAAAAATTGAGATATCTTAATGACGCGTGTTTCTTGGCAATAAAGTGAGGACGAGTTCGTAGATGGGCGTAATCGGACCACTTCCACGCCCATAAAACGAAATATGCCGAAAACCCATAAATTGCCGTAACTAAGCCTCAATTTAGAATAAAAAACCGTAATTTGGTACAACGAATCGGCACCTGTGGTTTGAAAATTTTTATATAGGGGGAGTTATAGGAGCCGATGTCAAAATTGGACAATGGGGTGTCACCGCCCACATTTAGATGTAATCCATCAATTTCAACCAAATTTGATACCTAAGATTACTTTGACATTTACATGTAACAGTACAAAATTGATCGAATTTGGACGGTAACCACGCCTACTTCCCATACAACACAAGTTTAAATTCCATCTGATTTTTTCACTTTCCAGTGTACAAGTCAAGCACTAATTAATATATCGGGATACAAATTTGCACGAATATTACCTTTACGGTATGCCATCTTTGCCCATAACTGTTCAAGCTCCAGATACCGGAAATGTGGACCTTATCCACTGTCTGTGAAATATAATTCGTGGATAAAATTATTATCATAATAATATACTCTTGCGTCAAAAATGTCTTGAATCAGATCAATATTTGCCTTAGCTCCAATGTACCTAATATAAAATTTTTGAACTTCCAGTGGACCTTATAACATATCACATATATCGGCCAATGTGGGAGATATTTTAATGTAATTAAGAGAGCGTGTTTTTAATAACAGTACCAGTAATTTATTTTGCTTAAAATGCATAAAATCGGGCGAGAACTTGCCTTAGACCCTATATAACTGATATTCACGATTTACTGTTCACGACTGACTTTACTTGGTTGTTTGTATTTATATATATTTATAAAATACCCAAACTGAGTTCTTCCTTACTTGTTATGACCATGTTTGGCCTAACACATAAAATCGTTTGTGGCATTGTCTCAAGCAGCACTTATAATTTAGAAACTCTGAGAAAAATATATGAGAAAAATCTTAAAGAAATGTGGAATTAATTTTTACAACAAAGTGTGCTTCACTGGCAGGAATTTAGGAATTTAAATGTAAACATTTCTGATACTTTTTTCAAATCATAGATGCCGAACAACTAATGCTTAGAATGTTGCCGTTGATAGAATTATCAAGATGTGTGAACAAAACTTTAGGCATAGAATAGAAATTTAACAAAATATTATATATATATCTTTTATTTCGATTAGCAAAAAAAAAAATTCATTTTGTTGAGTAATGATGGAGAATTTTAGATTACGAAACATTTGCCACCAGTTTCCCAATTTTGAACTACTTTATTACTAACACCGCCATGAAATCACTTTTAATCACAGTACAGTTCTTAAGGAATAACTGGAACAAAGTCTAAGTCAAAGCTAAGCTTCCATCGGTAAAGTAAATGAGCTCATCTTGGGAAACATCCGAGCATTACAATTGTACGTGCTCGGCATTCCGCACACACCAAGCTTATTTACAGTTATTGCTTTTAAATACTTGCTCCATTGCAATACATTTTCACCAATCGTGTTTTACAACAACAATAAAAGCTATTATAGTGAAAATATGTCCTCTAATATATTTATGTAAATGTAGTTTCAAAAGAAGCTGCCACCCGTTCGCCGTCAACTGCATCGATTGGCACTGATTACCATCAATATTTGTTTCAGGTGGCACCATCGCCACGCTGGACGCGGTCACTCGCGTTTAACAGTCAAGAGCTATGCCAAAGGTTCCGCATTACTGCCAACAACAGCATTGCAACAAATGAATGTTTCAGTGAGTGAAATGGAAATATCGAGCAAATGAGGTTAATATAAGTCGGATGGTGGTTGAAAATGCAACAGTAAAACTGACGAAATACTGTACTGCTTATATATAAATAAACAATAACTAAGCTTTATTTGCGCTAAACCAAACTGGCACCAGAGGGAAATCGCTAACACACAAGCCAGTTAGTGTTGCAATGCCGATGAATTGATTGCCCGATCTACATTCGGATATGCCGACATTAGCAATTAAGGAATTTTTCGGATTTTTATTATGCAGCTGACGTATCACAACTATGGAGTTAATAATCTTCCCACCAACTTGGCAACGAACCGCGTTATGTACCCTATCCCTCTAACCGAATGTATCCAGTGTTGGTCAACAACGCTGCACTTATTTCGAAATTCTTTGTATTTGTACCGCAGCGGAAACGGAAATTGGATTTGTTTTGTTACACCACTCCCCACCAACTCACTGCCAGTCTCTCAGTGCTTCTTCTATGTCGATTTGAGCTTTGTTTAACATTTCCTCTACGGTGAATCAATTTCTTAAAAGCGCATTTTTTAAGCCGATTAAATTGCAATATTCTAACCAGATTTGAGCTTAACTCTAACCCATTCTGGTTTGGCGACTTAGCGCAGAGAAAATGTGGCGAAGAAAAAGTGCAAGGAAGAGTGTATGGAGAGTGCTCTGTAAATACAATGGTGCTTGTGATGGCTGCAAATGGTGAATTAATCGTCTAAATTTTCATTTTTATTAGTTTTTGTTAGTGGAATCGTGGGGACAGCATTTCAACAGCTGTAGCTGGCACTTTAAGCGGATTAAGAAACAAGTTCAAAACGTTTTTTTATTTTTATAATTTGCATTTGAATTTTTATTCATATTCTTATTTAATTTAATTTTCTCTTTATCATTACATTTTTTATCAAATGATATTTGGTGATTTTTATGATTTCTTCTCTTTAAAACAGCGGGTTCACCACTATATGTCTGGTGGCAAGGTAATAATAATTTACATTTAAATAATTCATTTGGTGTTAGTTGTTTGTTCCTTTCTCCTTGTCAGCTTCGAGTTTTTGGCGTTATTTTTATTTGGCCGTCCCCCCCTACACATGTGTTGTGATATAAACTGGGCTGTTTAGACAGATTACTCAAGACAATCTAAAAATAATTTCTGTGCTATTTCAGCTGTTGATTCAGAACTGCTGTAGATTTATTCAATTCATCTTAACTTTTTAATTTTTTTGTTTTGTCTCATACCAACTAATACAAACTTATTAAACATTCAATAATATTGATCAATATGAGTATATGATGTGGTTAAGGGTATGAGTAGGTTTCAAATTTCACAATGGCAGCAATCTATCATCTATATTCAAAGAGTCTAGAAGAGTATTTGAACTTGAAATTTAATTTAAATGCATTAATGCTTTAAAATTAATCTAACTACTAATCTGACAAAAAAAAGTCTATTACATTGGAGGCTAAATTCAAAAGTGGCTATACACGAAATGTATCATTACGAAATTACGAAATGTAGTTATGAACTAATAAAAGAAAAGCAATTTACATACAACTTTTTTGTGCGCTTACACTGCAATAAGTTTCACACACAGTATATCGCAAAGAAATGTACACATCTTGTATTTTATAAAATTAAAGACTGTATTTAATTAATTTATCGATATTTCTATCTCTTTACTGCTATTATCTCTTCTTCATCACTCATAAAAAATTTGTAAACATTTTCCAAACAATGCTTCATTGAAATTGCAAACGTAAAAAACAACATATAACTGCTACTAACAAACAGTGCGCCCAAAAAGTAAGTAGACATAAATACGCTATGATCCGCTATAATTACTTGCAAGCAATTACCGTTCATTAAATACTGTAGTTGCTTAAATATATTTATGTATATAAATATTTATGTATATATATGTTTATATGTTTATAAAGATCTATAGTTATGTAATATTATATATGTAATTTTGTACGAAAATTTGTATCTAATTTACAAAACTAGTATTATTTTTTCGCACTATTTTTTGTGTATTTATGTCCCATTTTTTTATTCTCTCCTATAATATTAGGCACATGAAAATTCACTTTTGTTCATTTTCATAGTAATTTACAGTTTTATTTATGTTTACCTTTTTGTTGTAATGCGAACAATTACAGAAATATATGAGCCGTATATGGCATATCTTTACTTGTCAGAAATGAGTAAAAAGAAATTAGCAATAATGGAGTATATAGTAAAAAAAATTGTGCTATTAATCATTAATGAATGTATGCTAGTAGTGATTTCGGTATATTTTGCTCTTTCAACTAAGAATATCCGCATTTCTCTGTGAGTGCAGACAATTTTTAAACAACTGATATTATTCAAAAAAATTTAACCTAGAAAACTAGTTTGAAACGAGGTATGACAAAAAATAAAAATTTTTTTGAACCGGACTCTAACACTAATTTATCGCTTTAATCGTTTACGAATGTGAATGATTTGTCCAAAACAACATAAAGTTCTACCACAGTAGAATCGGATTATAATATATTATATTTCAGAAATATTGGACCAAAAGAGATTTAATAATAAATCGATTAAACCGAGGCACACTACACATTTCCGAAGATTCAAAAATATGCTCTTGATACAATAAGGGTATTTGTGTAAATTTTCAATAAATCAAATCTGTTAATTTTCAAAGTATTTTAGGAACTCAAGCCGAGATTAACTCTATTAATGAACCCTTAGGAACTTCATAAACTTTAAAATTTTGATATAGGTATATTTTATTCTAAAACATAGAAATAAAATATATAACTAAAAAAATAAACAATTCAATAAGAATGCAAGCAAATAAAGTTAGAAAGATGAAAGGTTTTATTCTGTATAATTGTCCTATATAAATCTTTTCTAAATCTGTGATGGCTTCTCCTCCCGCCTTGTATAAATAATTTAACTAGTTTTTAGATGTCCTGAAATATCTGAGAAGCTATTAGTTAAAAGCTATTCAAACCGTGAACCTTCTAGTTAAAGTTATGAACTTCTCAAGCAATCATATTGACAGAGAAAAGATCATAACTTAGCGTTAGATTTATTTCAGCAGGGGAAAATTAAAGTAACCAAATTGAAATTGCTAACATCTTCTACCTGTGCGCAATGAAATGAATGTTCACGAATTCACTGACACATCTTTAGCCTTTACTGTGTATCAATAACTCTATGTCCAGACCATCTATGCGACGTAAAGTATGCAATTAATATTTATCAGCTTCTAGACACATTTACCCAGTTACAATTGTCACCTACGTGTGTTTATATATATGTATATGTATACGCATTTCGCCTACAATTACTTTGGAAAGCTCCCTGATAGAATAGATAGTGGATTGGAGGGGTATACAATTCATTTGTGTAATAAGCTCTTGAGTATGTAGCTTTTGTAGACAAGTAAATATTCAGTGAATTTCACTTTAAGCTGCTTGCGATTGCTGTAAAAAATATGATAATAATTTAGGAAATAGTTGAAATAAGTTTCTCTCTGCTACTATGCGGTTCTGAATGAATTGTATACTCATATATACTTGTATGCACATGTAATGTACGTTCAATATCTTTTGATATTTTCCTACTGGATAACTTCTTAAGAAAAATCTTATTTTTTTCAGAAATTCACCACACAAGTTTTAAGAATGAATATTTAATCTCACATAACACTTTTGTTTGTATAATTTGGATGCAATATTTATATGAAAAGATAGAAGATAGAATATAAATTCAGATTTTTTTAACTCGCTGGTTTTGTACTTTCTAATGTACTGCGTGATTGCAGCAACAGCATATAGGTCATACACGAATATGAGTATAAATCTACCATTCCTAAATTACTTTAGTATTGTATATATATGTATGTAAGGAGATTCATTAAATTTGTATACTCTTGCAACAAATTGCTACCATGTACAAGTAAAGTAGTTTTGTTCACATAACGGTTGTTTGTTTCACCCAAAACTAATCGAGTTAGATATAGGGCTTTACTCGTATATATATAAATTATCGGAATGACGAATAGAGTTGATATACGGGTGAGTGGATGTCCGTTCCTCCCTCCGTCCGTGCAAGCTGTAACATGAATACAAGTTGAGATATCGAAATGAAACTTTGTACACGTGTTCCTTGGCAAAAAAAAGGACGAGTTCGTAGATAAGCGTAATCGGACCACAAAACTCCATTGATTGAAAACATATAAAATTCCATAACTAAACACTAAATTAAGATATAAAGCTTTAATTTGGAGCAGGGGATTCCAACAGTAAGGGGCACCAGCGGCCTAAAAGTGTTTTAAAAGTGGGCATGACCCCGCCAAATATATCGCTCAGGGCAAAACCCTTAAGAACCCCTACCGATAGGGTGAAAATTGATGAAATCTCATATAACCCCGCCTTCTCCCCATTTTTAAGGGATATCTCCATATCTTGGGACTTACGCGACTTATTTAAACTATATTGAGTACTTAACATTTCAGTGTGAACATATAAAGATTTTCGTACTTCCAGTTGACTCTATACCACATACATATATCGGCAATGTATCTTTGTGCCTCAAATGGATAAAATCGACCCACAAGTTGCAAGAGTACTAAACGTCCGGTTACACCCGAACCTAGCTCTTCTTTACATGTTTTATATATGTGTTCTATATTTAGTATATACTGTATTTGTTTGAACAATTTATTTTGTTTTAAATACTGAAAAATTACGAGAAAAGACATTTTATAAAAAATTTAGAAATAATAACATTATTATCCCTTCTTTTTGTTTTTATTCTTCGTCATTAACTGGGAGACGTTTTAAATGTTTTATATATATATTTTTAAGGTTTATTAAGAATATTTGTTTTTAATTTTTGTACATAGTCTCACATAAATAAACAGAAGGATAACATTAATTATATTATAAAATTGATGGTGACAAAATTGCTGTTTTCTTCCGTGACTTATATGTTCAACTTTTAAATGCAGTTTATCCACGTTTTCTTCCAGCACTTTACCCATCACATTACCGTTTACAAGTTTATTCGTTGGTCTTAATTTACAATTTAATTTTACATAAGAAGAAGAGAATAATCACTAAATAGTTTTTGCATTTTCTCACCCAAACCCACAGAACAACTAGTATGGTGGCAACGTTGGGATAAAACGACGCTCATCATATTGGTAGCCTCGATATTGGCGCTACTTTTGGCCGTGATAATTATCTGTTGCATCATCATTTGCATATGCCGCCGACGCAGACGTCAAGATAAATGTGAGTACAAGCAAGCATATAATTTTATGAGTATTAAGAAGGAGAATACGATTAATATACAGAAAATAAATTTTTATTTAGAATATTTTAAAGAATACGAAAATATCTAAGCAAATTTGAAGTAGTATCCGAATTTTTTTTAAACTAATATCATTATATTTATTTAAATATTGTTATTTAACACAAGACACAATTTACTTATTTTATTTAAAAAAATTAATTTTATTTTTCACAAAGAAATCTAATAAATATAATTAAAAAACAAACATATTTAACAAACTATTATATATTTTTTTTTTATTAGAAAACCAAAACTATTTGTGTAATTTACTCAGCAAATTTAATTTGCTTATCATCTCTTCTTTTCGAGATATCTAATTCATTTACCTGTAGTTCATCATATTTATTTTGCGTTTTCTTACGGCTTTTTGTGTGTGCATTTCTATGCATGAAGAAATAGTCGTTAGCTCATAATTTTACAATATTTATCTTTTGATTTAACTTCAAAGCAATCAATTACTGTTTCTAAATTGCATTTCTTCTTTTATACTTTTTTTACTTTACTTCAAAAAACTGTATTTAATTGGCAAAAAATTTAAAATTTTGCAAAAAAAATTCAATAAACAAATTTCAAAAATTTCTCACAGGAAATTTCCACTTTTAAACTCGTTCCTCATTAAATTCTTTCAACTGGCCAACGAATATACGGCCAACTACAATCCATGCCAATAAGCCCTGCAATTGTTTATTTATTTAATCATAATTAATAATAACACACCCTCACACGACACATGTGCTGGCTATTCTTTATTTACCATCCCTCCAGCGTCCACTTTCTAATGCATGGCAAATAATTCAATTGTGTGCGATTCCATTACATTGCGCCTGCAGCTATGCTCCGGATTTGTTTGAATTTATGTTTATACCGTAAACACATATATTTTCGCTCGCTTATTTACATGCATTTGCTTAATATAATATAATTTGTAAGTGTGTGCATTTGAGGCAAAAAATAAGAGTTAATAAAAAAATTTGAAAAAAAACGTAAATCAACATGCATTCCACTAATGAATTATTGTACTTAAGCAAGAAACTAATTAAATTATATGGCAATGCTGTTATTATGAATTATTTATTTTACTTTTTATGTTATATATAACCAGTTTGTTTGAGAATAATTTATGTCGATGCAGGGTGTTACAAAATAAAAAAAATAAAAACAATTTTCTTTTTGGTAGAAAAGCTGTGGACCAGAATAAAACGAATTTACTTAGTTGATGATGAGGTATATAGGGTTATGTAATTAGTTTATGATAACATGACTGGTAATAACTCATCTTTTTTATTGGAAATTGGAAAATGTCTTTCCGATATAAAAAAATACTTGCGAAATTATAATTTCCGCTAAAGTCCCTAAATTGTTTTAACAAAAGAGCTTTACAAGGTTAATTAGAAATAACTGTGCGCTGGATATTCTTCTCCAGACTACAGCGGCTATTTATAATACTTTTGAATGCACTTTGGTACGAAGAATAACATAATCTGTTATATATTATTAAATGATCTGAAATTTTATTTACACCAGCAAACGCAATAAGCATAAGGCGCCAAAAGTTCACAGAGAAAAACTTTTTGCTTACTATTAGTTAAACATTTTCATAAAATTTCAAATCATTTTCTCTAACTCTTTCTATTTGCTTTTGTGGAGTCTACTAGCTATGCTGTTTGAAAGGATTATTTGGTTATTAATGATAAACAGAAACACTTCCTATAGGGCAAAAGAAAAGGACACTAACCCCACCTTTCAAAGTTCAAAACTGGACTCATACAAAATGGTACTATATTCTAACGCTCTGTAACTGCAAACTTAAAAAACATATAGCCTTCTGATATATTCTTAATATTAATCTTATCGAAAATTTTTTTTTTATATCCTGAACATGGTATATCATCATTAGTTTTCAACGATATTTGTAACCTTAAAAGAAAATGTCGGAGATCACCCTACAAAGTATACATATTATATATGAGTCATTCCATCGATAATTTACGTTTAAAATTTTTTTTGTACAACAAATTTTTTATTTTGTGTCCTGCGAAGCAAAATAGTGGGATTTGTTTTTTGTTTCGACTCAATATAATAGATTTTGGTGTTATAAATTTTCAAAATTTAAGCGCTCGAAAAATTTTCGTATACGAAGAAATGTTTTTAATTATAAAAAAAGTAGTATATAATTCAAGCCTTTATATAATTATTACTGTGAGGTGTCATGAATTAAAATTTCCAAGTCAAATAAATGCAGTTTCGAAAAAACGCGTTTAAAGGTTTCCGTAAGTTATAGTTTTCACAATTGCGGATCGATAAGGAAAAGATTTTTTTTAAATAATATTTTTAGGACAGCAAATTATACCTTAAAACACACAGCGAGTTCCAGCTTAACTTTAACTAGTTTACTTCTTACAAATTTTTAAATATCATATTTTGTATAACACCCTGTGACTACAACTTTTAATACGACAGGTATTTGCATTATGAATTTGTGTAAATTTTGTGTAAATTAACCATATTTATTTGCTTAATTAATTTTGACAAGCTACTTAACTGCAAATTTATGTTCTCTCTTTTCTTCTTATATTTTGCACTTTTATGTGTTTTGTGCTTCAACAAAAACTAAACAAAAACAACATACACCGAACTGATGAAAACTGTATTATGCAATAACATTAAATGCAACAACACTGACCACAAAAAACACTAACATTGTCATAACTGCATATACACACATACATACATGCATATTGTGCAAAAATAAATCGGTTTAAAATTTATGTCTATGAAAAATTCAACAAATGCACAATGAAATATTACAAATCGTGCATTGAATGCAAAATTGCCTGGAAAATTGGTGAACAATGCGAAACTCATACGAAACTCAAACATGGAAACCGAAAATTATTTATTACCGAAAAACATAAATAAATATATACAACAACGCACACTCACACGTATGACTTTAAATTGCGTGCAAAATAAAAATTATATTTATTAACATAAACAAAAAAACACACTTTACACAAATACACGGAACCTTACAAAAAATGCCTGAAAAAAACAAAAATGATTGAATTCTATTTATTTGTATGCTTAAATGCTTTCAAAAATGTTTTTGTTGCTTTTGATGGGCAAACATAACGAACGCATCGCATTTGCTTGGAATGGCTTGAATGAAAATTAATTACTTATATGTATGTGTTAACTGAAATGCATCGAACTATGCGTACGTATTTTATTTGTCTTCACTGTACTGCCTGTGGTCGTTGTTGTTGGCTTTTGGTGTTAATTACGTTGCCAAAATAAAATTAACACCAAATATATTTAATTGCATGGCAACTCTTTTGTGCATACACATAACACAATACAACAACATTAAATAAAAAAAACTAAAACGCATACAAACAAAACAATGTGAAATCAATAAACACTTTCTGCTTTTGGCTATTAACTAATTTGCTGCGACTATGCACACAAACACATGTGGCATATAATGAACTCGATTCCAAACAAAATCATCCATCACTATCACGACAATCAACCGTCATTTATTTACGCAATTATATAATTATTCCACACACAAATGCACACGCGCGCATTTGGATTAAATTTATTATTCGTCACAAAAATTAACTAATCGTTGTGCAATCAAAATTTAAATGGAAATATTTATTGGCAAATTGTGACTGCAATTATACGCGCGCATGTACTCACACCAACACATACACACACACACACGAATGCAACTACCAATACTTGTGCTGTCGATTCAACAATGCATTGTCATTCATACTCGCACAATAACCACAACAACAACTAATACACTGTGCTGAAAAAAAACATATTCAAATACAATTTGAAATCGAATTCGAACATGAATTATACGCAAACCCCTAAAAAAGATCGCACCGATGTCTCCATCAGCGCCACGCACAGGTAAGCTTTAAAAAGAGAACTAATTAATAAAATCACTAGAATTTAACCAAATTCGCCAAGTAAAAAGTATTCTCTAAACTATTTTCATGTTTTACGTAGTGTTTTTTTGTTGTTTTCTTTTTTTCTTTAGTTATTCCGACCCCTTTCGAAAAGTATTAAACAAAGAAGTGAAAATAGTAAAATAAATAGTACTGGAAGTAATTTAATAAAATTTCGCCTGAGAAAAAACAAAAAAGAAAAATTATCAGCTGAAAGGCCTGTCACTTCACACATGTCAACAAAATATTACAATTTAACAGGTCCTCCAATGTTTGAAGTACCATGCATACAGAACTGTCCCTTCGGTTGCTAAGCACGCATTACTTACGGAATATGTAGTTCATATTTCCCATACCTGAGTACCATAATGCTGTTTTCGACTGCTCCCTGCTCAATATCTTAGCTGCACCGACATGACTGACCATTTCGTTGAATGTCTATCGATTTCGCTAATAACTAATTTAATATCCATAGAGTCCATCATTTGGGATGACTTATGATGAACTGTTTGACGCTCATAAATTGTTCTAAAGTGCCTTTAAAAGTTGCGTTAAAGAAACATTTTTTTTTTTAAATTTAATTACCCCATGTTGTTCAAACGCTTTATTAATTTTGTTGATGAAATTTTTCTTTTCTGGATATGACGATGAAAACTCATCCTGATAACTCCGAGGACGGTCGATCAGACTTAGGAGTCAAATGATAGAGCCCTGAGCCATTGTCACATTTCGACACAAAAAATTGGGTTTATTACGTTTGAACAATTGCAAACACTACTACTCCGAACCTTTTTCCGTTGACACGAATATCTTCCAAAAATATGCAAATAGACATAAAGTGGTGCGAAAAAGAGCTTTTGGAATACTAACCTCAAAGAAATATATCGCCTTTAATTGAAAAACTAAAATTTTTCCTTTCAATGGAAGGTTCGAACTTCTACTCAATATGCTAGTTTTCTATTACTTCGGTATAA